GTACTGATATGTTCTGCTACCAATTTCAGTTATGGCAATTGTTATGCATGGTGAAGCTGACAAGTTATGGGACAATGACCAATTAATAGAGACAATGCAATTAGAATGTATGTTTACATCATGGAGAATTACATACTAGTATTGCTTAATTTTGAATGATTGTTCATTTCAAAAGCATCCAAATTGACAGTTCATTCATAGTAAGCAGTTTTCTGATTCATTCATTAACTTCTTTCAAATTAGATAAGATTTACATAATTATTTGTACTTAATGATATTATCAGTATGATTATAGCAACAGTGACAAATTGTGGCACAAGTGAGGATGGAAGACTGCCTGCTTTGGAGGAAAATCCGATGCCTTTTGTGAGAAACATCCTTGAATTGATAAAGTAATATGGTTCGCAAAGTGAAATTAGACACCTGTAAATAAATTTGAAAAGACTAATGATCGTATCTCGCAATAAAGATTGGTGATCATAATTTCGACAAAATAAAATTAATTTGCTAATAAGCCAAGTGGAAGAAAGTTAAAATGGCGGAACAAGAAAGGACGTGAAGAAAACTATTTATTTAATAAAATTAACTAAATTAGCACATGAAATGAACTAAGGTATGCAGTAATATACGGTACTTTTGACCATTTCAAACCATTTGCCTTAGAATTACCGATAATACCTACAACAAAACAATTGAGGTATTTAATATTGGTCAATTTGAAAAGAAAAGGAAAAGTATTTCCGTGCTATTCCCAAGAAGAACCTTTTACAATTTACAGCAAGATCCGTCCTGGGATGTTCTCACTTATGAGTTAAGTTGATTTTGCTTACTTTTCTCAAACACAAAAAATTTTCCGCCTGTTCAGGCGGTGAAATCAAAGGAATAAATGATAAATGGTAGAACAGCGCTATAATTTGCTACAACAAATGAGCTAAAATCACTGTGAAAACAGTCGAATTGATGAAATTTGCGATTTGATGTAATTCTTGTAAACTGCAATTTAGTCGTCGATGAAATTAAACTTTTGTTTGTTGGAA